TGTCAAGGGCATATGGCGAGCGCCCTAAGGCGACTCGAATTCACCCTGCCGGGGTAGGTGGAGCGGAAGGTAGCGGAGCGGAAGGTCTAACCAACTGAGCCGCCGGGACGGACGTTTTCTCACGAAATATAAACGTTCTGATTGATTACACTCATAAATGACACCATTGATGGCTTGATGTCGTTATTGTGACCGTATGAAGACTAAGTCAAGTCTGCTTTTAGGCAAGCACTCCATGCAAGAGGCCTCGCGTAAACGTTTCCCATACAAGTACCCTGAGAAAGTGTGTGTGTAGTGCATTTCTGCACTGCTCTTCGGCATGGCTGCGTTTCGTTATTATCAACCTCGGCAAATGACTTAACATAAAATCAGTTCTTTTTGTAATAAACTCTGTGTACATGAAAAATCATCGTCGCTCACGTTGTGGAGCAGAAATCTGTTAAACCAAATACCGCCATTTTCAGGGGCCATCCTGCGCAGCATACCGCGCTACGGTGTCTCCCGCAACAAAACGAAATAGGTATCAGGAAAATCGTTTGCGCTGGAGAGACTGCGACGACGGCATGAAACACCGCGCTGACGACTGCGACAACGGCAACGCATAGCATTCGTTGAATGGTTTGGTGATTATTCCATTGGGCATGATAACAGAAGAGTGTATGTTTTGTGCAATGGGCGACTCTGGACATGTGTCCGACAATCCGCACTTGCGTTGCAGCAAGTTGGCGGCAAGCGACAAGCAGGTGATGTGCGGTCAGTGGGTCACAGCATCGACCGCAAGGCGGTCTGTCGCCAGCCAATGCTATGGCGGTGTGTAACATATGTGTGCCATATGCGTTTTTGGCATAGGGCAAGTTTCTCCCTCGTATTGTTGCGGAAACACGGCTGCAACTCCCGATACGGGGTTTCACCCAGTTCAGCCCCCGCTTGGGTTCAAGCCACGACGAACTTCGAGAAGAGAGGTCCAAATCCGGAATAAGAAATCGTTGTTGGTGTTTTTTCATGGTAGGTTGAGTCATTTTTTTCTGTTCGGGCCCTCCTTCCAATTCATTTTGCGAAACCACGGCCGCTGTGCGCGTTGATTACCCTGCTTGAGAGCCGGCGATGGTTTTACGGTTCTATTTGGCCGATCGGACTCGCCGTTAGTGTATTTTCGGGCGGTCATGCTGTGTGAGAATGTTCCGATATAGGGCACCACCATAGCACTCACCGAGGGATGACAGCACCATGATGTTCGGGTAGACTTTAGTAGACTGCACATCGCCCAGCTGTGACGGGTCAGAATTGTGTGCGACAAACCCACTGCATTCAGCTGATTTAGGAGTTACGAATATTAGGGGTTATGATACACTAGGCCTTACGATACATTAGGTGTTGTGATATATTAGGAGTTGTGTTACATTAGAGGTTACGATCGTTAGGAATTACGATACGTTGGGTCTTACGACACATTAGGTGTTATGATACACTAGGTGTTATGATACATTAGGGAATGTATTAGGAGTTGTGTTACATTTAGAGGCTACGAGCATTAGGACTACAATACGTTAGGTCTTATGACACATTGGGAGTTATGCATTAGGAGTTGCGATACATTAGGATGTTGTGATACATTAGGAGTTACGATACCTTAGGGGTTATGACACATTAGGTGCTACGTACATTAGGCGTTATGAAGCACAAGCGGTTTTGATACATTAGGCGTTGCGATACATTAGTGGTTGCAAACATTAGGGGTTTCGATTTTCCGAGGAGTCATCCAAAAGAAAACATGAACATTCCCAGAAAACATGAGCTGGCCTATCAATGGAAACGTTTGGTCCCGTTTCTGTCTAAGCTGGGGCTCAATCCGCGGGGCACATCACATCTCTGCCGAACAATTAATCAATCGATAACAAATCAATGTAAAAATCAATACAAAACAAAAAAAATTACATAGGTGATGATGCACTGTAAAAGGAATAGCAGCGGCATTTTTTCGATGCAGTCTTTTCATAGCTGATTCCTCCATTTTATTGACTGATAAGTGCAAGCAAATTGCCTTTCTGGTGCCTTTCACATTGTTTTCAGTTAAAGAACGTAATAGATAAGATGGTACAGACAATTTGGCTCTGCCAGAGTTCGGCGGGCCGAGCCCGGTTACTTGTGGGCGGGGGGGGGGGGGGGGGGGCGCTCTTGCTGGCAGAATACCTTCGTTAACGCTGGCGCCCTCTGCCATCACCAAGACTTTGATCGCACCCTTGAGAAAAAGTGTTCCAATCTCTTTGGCCTGTGCCGAATTGCTAAGTCTGTGTATAATCCACCGTGCCATGTTCAGCCTTTAAAACTTTCAGATTCCCCATGATATGCTTCTCAACTATTTAGCTGTGCAAACATTCAGCAGTTTTATTTAACGTAAAACAGCACATAACACGCTCCCAGCGCAGTACTTAAGAGCCTTTTCCTCAACCCTTCCACTGCATGGTCCGACAGAATCTGTCGGACCATATCGTTTTTCAACAGGTTGGACCATAGCATTTTGAGCAGGGGGCATCTGATGCCCCCTGCTAAAAATGCTTTTTTTATCGCTCATCTAAATAGCGTAACATTTATGGCATATGCTGACAACGCTCATGTAAAAACAATAACAATTATGTCACAAGCTCATAACCAAGTGGACGACGCAGCGACCACGCCTGGAGGCAGAAAGCAAAACAGGTAATGTTTTAACAAACCCTGTACTGTCCGTGCTATATCCTCCTACTCTGTGCTGCATGAGAAGCGATGGGGAATTAATCCACGTCACCAAAAAATCAAAGCTCGAAGAATTGTGGAGTATTTCTGTTGCTGGGTATAAGGTTACGACCACTGTCTGTGTTTCAGACGATCAAGAGCACCAGCCAGGTGTTGTAGCTGGGACTGAGGCTCAGCCCTAAAAACTTTGTCACGCCTACGTTAGAAATGTTACCTGCGCTCCTAATTTCCACCCATTCCTGGTTACATCAAAACGTTAGCAGCAGTAGCCGCTTGCGGGGGCGTCACGTCCATGAGCAGCACGTCGAGCAGCGTCTGCGCCATGAACCACCGCACCGTGCCGCCCACGTGCGTCGGGTCCAGGACACTCGTGACGCACCGATCTTGGAAGTCGGGGGCCGCCGGTGCAGCTGAAGCGGCAGACAGACCGAGTGGTAGAAGCGTACCGCCTCGGTCGCACCCGACGACCAGATGACGAGCTGCGGCACGAGCGCCGCCGTCTGTACAGCGCCGCCGTCAGCACCATCAGTGTGCCGGTGATGCCTGACTTGCGGCCGCCCCCGTAGGGGCTTCCCGTCATATACAGCTCGTCCATGCTTCCAGAACACAGGCGTGGCGGCGGCGAGCCGCGCCAGCCGCGGCTGCAGCGCCGCCAGCTCGGCGGTGAAGGCGCGCCACCCAGGCGGTGGGCTGGCGCCTGCCCATCACCGCGTACCAGGCACCGCTGTCCAGTACCACCAGATCGGGGCAGCGGCCGGCCCAGCACTCGTCCGCCAGCTCGTCCAGCCGGCGCGCGTACGATTCGTCGAGCCACGTTCGCCACCAGAACTCGTTACGCAGATGAGCTCCGTGTTGATGAGGCTGCAGTGGACGACGGGGATCAGGCCGTCGCCGCCGTCTTCGGCCGGCACCAGCGTTCAGCACGAACACCTCCACGCAGTCCTCACTTAGTTCGGGCGGTGCGCAGGGACTGCGTCACATTCGAGCTGGTGCACCACTCGTGGGGTACGTGCCGTTCAGGTCGAGTTACCGTCGGTAGTCCCGTGAGCCGCATGCGCTCCTTCATGTTCATTTGCACGATGCGCAAGCGGCTGTCGCCGATGAATGAAAACCACCTTGGCGTCTCGACCGCGGCGCCGGGCCAGGCGCTGCAGCGCGAGTCGAGCCCGATACGGTGTCCATTGCCGCCTTCTGCAGAGGTGCGCCGCCGGCTGCTCCCACGAGAAGGCGCACCTGGCCCCTCGCGCAGGACGCGCAGGCACCGCTCCCAGCGCCGCCGGTCTTCACCCAGCTTCGCAGGTGGTTGCGCCATCGGATACTGAGTCACGCACAGCAGCAGGAAGGACACGGCCAGGACGACGCACACCCCTAGTGGTGCGGTACAGGACCGGCGCATGGTGACCGGGCGTTCCGGCCATGCGCGTCCAAATGAATGTGTTTTGATTCACGGTACGCCGAGGGGCAGAGTTCGGCAAGCCGTCCGCCGCACCCTGGCGGCGCGGTTGGGAAGCTTTGGCGCAGCAGTCACGGGTGAAAAAGCCTCCGAATATCGGGGATAAGATCGGTGATAACAATTGCATACTTTTGCGAGCTGTTTTGTGAAAGCTGCAAAAATGGAAGCAATTATAACAGACTATCCCCAGTTAACAAAGGTCAAAGCTTAGCGTTGAATAATACTCGCTAACGCTTAAAGTGTGAGCTTTTGTGAGAACGTTTGTCAAAACATTGACGGTTTGCTGTATGAAGTTGACCATAACTTCCCTCTTAACATAATGGCCTTAATCAGGATAGCTTAAAGCGTTGACAGAAATATGCTGCAAACTATACTTCATCAATGCCGACGCCACAGATCAGTGGTAACAGTGTTTTTCCAATGCCCTCCGATCAGTGCCTTTCACAATTTTTTTCAGCCGAGATTCACTGTACATATTGAGCAGCACAAAATAAAAATTGACTAGGATTGCCACTAGTCGTAACAATCGTCGTCGTCAAGTCGTGATAACCTGGAATCTGCGTCCGCCTCTGCGCCGAGGACCGCCCGCGGCAACAGGCCGCGCCGGCCGGGCCGACTGGCGGCAGAGGGCACGCAGAGTGGACGAGCAGACGTGATGCGAAGGGCACGCGGAGTGGACGCGTCCGGCGGGCACGCCAGTAAACCACCATGGCATGGTCGGCAGGAGCAGGCCCGAGCCTACTGGAGGCCACTCGTGCGTCGCTGTGAAGTCGCACGAGGCATCATTCTGTAAGTCAATCCGGCGGAGGCGGCGGTGGAGCAGCTGATTGTCCTGCTGAGGCAGCAAATGGAGGTAGCGGCCCAGGACCGGCAGGAAGCCCGGGAGAGAGGAGAGCGATTGACGGAACGCTTTCTAACGCTGTCCACGCCTGTCTTGCAGGATCGCCAGGTACGCACCACTGCACAAGGTGGGGGGGGGGGGGGGGGCACCGGTATGCACCGGAGGCTGTTTGCCATCAGCGGTTCTAGCATCCGCTCCACACCGATTATCGGACGCATCTCTGCGAGAATTCTCTGTGTGCAAAGCAAAATTAAATGGTCACTGTAAGCTGACACGAATGACCGCCTACCTCTGGAGACACAAAAGACGGCACTGATCACATTTATTCGATGCCACGGCTGATAAGACTGGTGAAATATTCACTGGATTTTGACATGGTCGATGCAGCCGTCACCACTGATGTCAAGATCGGTGAGCATTTTTGGTAACAGAGAATCGTGATCCGGGTCGTCTCGAGTTATTTTTGCGGGCCTCAAGAGCCTGGGATGCTCGCACTCAAAGAGATTCACGAATTTTGTGATTTCTGTGGCCATTGCCAAGACGACCAGCTCTGCGATAAAGTGGTCACTGGCACAAGAGACACAGGTATGCTGGGGAACTTCTGGCAGATGAATCGCTCACGCTACAGAAGGATTGTTAACTCTGTTCACACCCCGTTTGAAAAGTGCGCGTTGATGGACGTGACGAACTGCACGGTCAAGCCATGTCAGTCACTCGCGTCTCTACAGCCCATAGGATCAGGAATCTGCCAACGAGAAAGTGTAGTTTCTGTGGCGACGCATAGCACGTAGCTGTGGGCTCGGAACAGCATCCGTGAAGTCTGCGGCCGCCGTGCCACCTAGCGGAGATCTGTAGAAGTGGAGGTTCATCTCCAGACCGTCAGGTCAAATGTCAGCACAGTCGTTCATCATCGTCGGTCGTGTCATCATCGGGCGCGGCCGTTCTCCAGCAGCCGGCGCGGGAGGCGAGAGTCCACGGGACGCCTCGGAAGAGAGGCGAGGCGTTATCGGAGTGACCATGCGCACTATCGAAACATGGTGTCCGATGTATCATCATCAGACCCTACGTCAAGTAAGACGTCTCGTAGACGTAAGAGTAAGAATCTCGTCGCTGCAGATTCGCGCCCTCGTCGAGGATCTTATCGGCGGTGGCCGTCTGTCATGGACCCCGACACCGAGCTGAGTCCACGGTCATCGGTCCTGAATATGCCTATACGATTGATGTTGACCTATGCAGCCCGGCCCCAGCAAAGGGAAAGCTATTTTCTGCAGACGTCAAGCGACTTCGCTGTCTCGGAATGTTGAGTGCCGTTCTTCGTATCGGTTAACAGGCAGTTGCAAGTGGCATTTAAGTAGCTGGAGGTGTCGGTGCAGCTCTCCTGTCGTGGTTTCATCCCATGGAACTGCGTATCCTCCCGACGTGCTTCCCAAAGCAGATTGCATGCGTGCAAGTTGAAGAGACAGACGGCGACTTCACTGTCAGCCCTGGTCACCAGCTGACAGAGGACGATCTGGCTCTGTCCCTGCCTACCCTGCTCTCAGCGCACCGACGATCATCCCCATCCCCGAAACGGCAGCCGCATCCGACACAGCCATCCACCAACGTCGGACCGTGGCGCTGCCCACCTCTTAGACTGGGGAGCAAGTGATGCTGCCTATACTCCGAGACTCGCGGCAGGTGGCGCCATTTAACGTCAACAGTGCGCAGCGATCAGTGCGCAGGGGGCTGCGCTGGAGAACCCGCACGTTAGCTCCCACGACCGATCAGCGGCATCCACGACCAGTCATAGTGACAGGCGCGCGTAAATCCACGTGGTCTTCTGACGTGGGCTACCTGTCGCCACAACAGCGCGCAGATCATCTGGCGCCGATGGAGGCGGCGTTCCCGCATGTGTTTGATACATCCACACTTCGCGAGATGGTAGGTGAGGCCAATGAAAATGCATCTCCAGGAAGATGCGGAGCTATTCAAACTGGCTGCTGTTCGCAATATCCCGCTCAGGTGACTAGACAAGGTGAAGCGGCAGCTGGACGATCTCGGGGCCAAATCAGTCATCGTTTCTGTAAATGAGCCTACAGAGTGGTGTTATCCGATAGTGGTTGTCCCAAAGAATAACTCTGAAGATGTTCGCGTCTGTTGCAACTTGACCATGCTGGACACGTACGCCAAGAGGGGGTCCTCATCCGTTTACACACCGCACGACCGCCGTGTCCGGTATTAATAAAGACGCTGATTCTTCTCTAAATTTGACGCCAAGAACGCATGCTTCCAGATCGGCCATTGCACCTGAAGTCCAGCATCTCACAACATTCATCACGTCCTGGAAGCGTAACCAGTGCAAACGGGCTCCCCAGGGACTGATTACAAGCGGCGATGAGTACGGCCGACGAGGACACCAGGCTCTGGACGGCGTATCACGACTTGCAAAGTCGTGGATGACATCCTTGCGCCATGATGACGACTACACCATTTATCTACACCACGTGGGCACGATACTGGAGGGGTGGGATAAAAACGGCATCACACTGAGTCTTGCCGAGGTGGAGTTCTCCAAGACGAAGGGTGAATTCTGCGGCTACAAGCTGAGCTAAGAAAGCTTCGTCCGCGTCTTCCCCGTCCCCGTTAGCCAGAGGGTGGGAACCATCACATTGCTTCCGACACCAACCAACATCACAATTTATGTTGATCCATTACGATATAAATAATTATGATAATAATCTTGCCTGCTGGAAACTGATATGACAGCCAATGATGTAGGCAATGAGGGGAAAATGAGGGGTTAATGGTAAGGAATTTGACCAGTTACTGACAAAAAAATGAGCGAAAAAAGTTGAACAATTATACACGTTTAACAGATTGTGTAGCGCAAAGATTGTGTACTCAGCTGCCAGTGCATCTTTTAATGCCGATTCTGAATCTGCAATCCAATCTTAAAAGTAATCCATCTTTTCAGACATTTAGGACCGTAAGCAAATTATGAAATTTTTCTTCACAAGAGGAATATCATCAAACAAATTTGTTTGGAAAGGCGCACAATCAAATTCTCTACGAAACAATGCTTTAATAATTCTGCCTCCGCAGAACATTTCCACTTGAAAAAAAACACTTGAAAAGTTCGCCTTCGGGTCGTTCAAGATCCACAATGTTACGACATGGTGCCTTGCCACCAGTCAGAGCGCATAGTTCAACCAGGCAGCCGGATCCAACTCACAAAGATAAGCATCCCATCGCACACCGCCAAAACGAGGTGTGCTGAATGTCATGCAACAGCCTGCTACTGTTCCTACCTAAACCTCCTGGAGAGACATGAACGGTAATGTGGTCAAGGGCTACTGGGTGTCCACCATCTCCTTCATAATTACCACAATTTGCCCTAGATTCCTCCCCAGCGGTTTCCATAAATGAAAAAAATCATTTGGTTCCCTGCTCACCGCTATGCACATAATACATTTCACGTGTTCTGCCTTTCCCAATGTGTGTGTGTGCTGTGATGCTTGCAACATACTTGAGCGTCAGACTGTTTACGTAACAAATGTTACGAAAGCTTGAAACATTCTATTTAGGCAAAAAGGCTTACGAACGTGGAGCTATTATGCCGCGAATTCAGCGAAACGTTATCCAATGGCTTTGATTTCCCCCCCCCCCCTCTGGCTTTTACCACAGTGCTTCTTTTTGAGTTGCGCTTTGGCTTTGGGAATGGGGGTATCACATGGTCCATAGTCGACGCGGTGGTTCCAAACTTCAACCTGTGTGTCCCTCGGTAACAGGTTCTGGCCGCCCCGCTGGGCCAACGATAAACGTTCTTTTATTCGCATCAGTAGAGTGCACGCACTGGTTGTCATGGCGTGACACTTGCAAAGCGTTGACAGCGTATTTTGGGCTAAAAAATAAGTTGAACTGATGTCTTTTTTGGTCTTGACGGTGCTGCAATGGCACTACCCAGTAATGTTTTTGGCATAACTGGCTCCGAGGTTTCACAAGAGTATGCTTTTGAAATGTGGCCCAGAGGTGGAAACCCTATGAAAGTCGCAAAGATTATGGAGAGAATGGCTTGCCGAATTAAGAATTGCTATATATAAGAAGAAATGTTGATTAAGATACATGCAGCATCAAGATATATGTGAGATGCAACTTAATTGCGGGAGCCAAGCCGTCCTGCCGGCAAGACACGGCGTCTTTGGCTCCACCGGATAAAGGACCTCGCTCCGCCAAGTTACGTGGCATCAGTTCCGACTGTTGCAATCAGCTCCTGACCTCCATGCTGCCAGCAAGCCTAAGTGGAAGCGTGTTGCGGGAATCCGAGTTGACGGCAGGGGACTGACAAGCCTAAGACCGGTGATTTAGAGGTTCCGCAAGGTGACGCTAGGCGCCAGCAGTAGGCATGGGGCTCCCGCCTCGCAGAGCGCCATCGCACCTCTGCTTTCGGAGGCTGAGCCGTACGCGGAGCCCGACTTTTGAGCATTCGTGCTTCTCAGAGCGCTACCTGGCTGCACGCTGTGCCGCTCGCTCATCTTAGTACACCGATTAACGAGACGCTGAGCATCTCAATGGTATTTAGGGATGGAGCTGATGTGTGTGGCCCACACCGATGCAGACGCGGGGCTCTTGCAGACAGCGAGGTCCGCCATGTCTTGACGCGCCGTCTCATCGCTGGAAGACATTTCCGACGCACGGCGCTGAACGATGTCGTCAGGTCTGCTCTTCAGTCTGCTGGAAAACCCGCAGCTCTGAAACCAACCAACTCGCGCCGCCGCGACGGCAAACGACCGGACGGGCTGCCAATTCCTTCGCACTCCCATGGGGAAAGCCTAGTTTGGGATGCCACCTGCGTCAACACGCATGCCGAATCCCACGTGATATATACCGCGGTAGACACTGGAGTGCTTACACGCTCAGTTCAGAAAGAGGCGCAAGTATGCATACATCGCAGACAGATTTCAGCCCCAACCCGTCGCTTTTGAGACTGTCTGCGGTCCGTCAACCACGGCTTTCATCGGAGAGTTGTGGTCCCTGTTTGTCAACATATCTAAAGATCTGCTTGGGGCTGGCTGGCTCTGGCAGCGGTTGTCATTTTCTGTTATCCGTGGCAATGCTGCCTCCGTGCTCGCCACAGCTAGTTCCCTTAACACGCGCTCGGGTGGGGAGAGTAATTCGACCATTTTCCGGAATGGCTTCGGAACGACGCGGCGTAGTCGCGCTAACTTTTACATAGCTGTAGACAATTGAATAGCGGATTGTGTGCCATCAAAATTTAGATGTACCTTGTAAGGTCGTTGACCTACGGCAGGTCAAAGTTAGGCCATGGATTCAGCGAAGCCAATTTCCAGGGAATTGTCCAAGCAGATCCAAAAACGGAGTGTTGGATGAAGCCGTACACCTCTGAAATGCTTTCTTAAGCACCAAAAATATTGAAAGAGCAAATTACGTTGACCCAAGGTCAGGTATGAAGGTCAGACCACGGTCATAACCAACCTGGTTATTTCCTGGGCGCTCACTTCGAATTTATTGATAGCAGGAACCACATCATACATCTTCCATTGACTTCTTAAAGGTCAGAAAAGTCATTGACCTAGGATGACCCTGGTCGACATTTTGTTTTAGGAGTATACTGCCTAGCGTTATCTTTGTCGCTTATACAAATGCAAAACTCAGAGCAGTCTTGCATGACTTTGGTCACCATGACCTTCAAAAGGTCAAACAAGGTCACTGACCTGATATGGTTTGTTTTGACCTTTTGGACCTTTTGCTTAGAAACAGGTTCCCTAGGTTCTGGGGCACTTTGGAGACCGACCTGGGATTTGACCTTGTTTGACTTTACTGGACCTAAAGGTCATGACCTAGGAAGCTCAAACTCTGACCCAAGTGAGTTTACGTACAGGCCAAGGCACCCTGTAAACATGGTGTCTCTAGCTTTCTTAGTTCCCGAGATTTCAGGGAGGTCAAATTGAACCCCCACATCCGAGCGAGGGGTATCTAGCCGGCCACCCGGGCGCGTGTTAACGCGCCTGTCAGCGCACAACACTGGCCCACGCCCAAAGGCAAACAGACTGCGGTGAATTGGACACTACATCCCGAGGCCCGCTCAGTGGAAAGCCTGACTCATCGCCACCTGAGTGTGAGCCTTCTGCCTACTCTTTGACGGCCCGCCACCTCCTAGATCTGCATGACAGCCCAGTAAAGCCAGCCTCAGAATGTTGCCTTCCGCAGCTGCAGGCCAAGATGAACAACTCTACTGAATAACTGGGGAGCATCCGAAAGGAGTGCAAGGGCAAGTAACAAGCCGAGCGGGCACGTGCTGAACAGAGGAACTGGGAATAGCTCTGTCTGGTCGGCTGCCCAGGCTCGGTCGTCTCCCCGTCGAGCTGCCCGTGGGTCATTTGCTCCAGTGAAGAGGACGGAAGGGCGCGGCCCCGTGTTTGGATTTTACGGGACCCGGGAGCATCGGCAATACGTTCATTATGAACGCGTTAATGTCTGAGCAACACCCGCGCCCTGCATGACTTCATCCTACGATATGAGTGCTCAAGATACGTCAACTCGATCACCTCCGCAATGAAGGGTGGTCTCAACAAGGCATTCGCCACGTTACTGCGAGGCCTATGGAAGGGCTCAGATGAGGCTAACCTGGTGACCACCTCCCCATTGAGGTGCAGTTCTTGCGGTTTGCGGCCCGATTTATGGGCTCTCAGCACCAGGTTGCACACCAGTGTCTCAGATACCTGCTGGAGGGCTTGCACGAAGACATGAACCGTGTTCACGTCTAATCCAGGCACAAACCCACCCACATCGATCTTGGCCTCAGTGTTAGCCAGAAACTGCTCGAGGCCCGGAAGCGTATCCTGCTCTTGAAGAATTCAAAGCTCATGACGAGGGCCGATGAGGAATCGTGAGTGTGTCGGTTGGTTAGCCGAGGCCAACTTGAAGGGCCCCTGAGCAACCGAGAGTGCCTTGACAGGGGCCCCGGCTTCAGAATACAGAGCCTTTCAGGCGAATGAGAAGCATCTGTGGAAGGTCCCCGATTAACAATTGCGCCTTGGTTCTGTATCACGAAGGAGGAGGGCCCTCCGAGCAAATGCAAAGGAATCAACGGCAACGTAAAAGGCTCCTTGACGATCACATTGACTCTGCAAGTGGACATATTGGGCCCCGGAAAAAGCGTGGGGCCTCTGGACAGCGCTATGAGCCTTCAAGTCTCCCAATAACCACTGTTTCAAACAGTAAATAATTATTTTTGTCTACTCGCGGGCATTTCGCTTTCGCTCGCGGCTGTTCCTGATTGCCTAAAAGCCCAAATGCTTCCAACTTTGCTGTGTTTTGTGTTAAAGAATTGCGTTTGTTCGGCCACCTATGGGGCCCCTTCGGAGCCTTTGGTTCCTTCGGGGTCCATGGAGTCCATGGCCCGTGTCTCCCCTCCCCCCCCCCCTCTGGGTCTGTCCCTGATCATGCAGAAATGGCCTAGCTGGTTCACAGGGAGCTATGACCGCACGCTGACGTCACTGGGCAATCAGCTGGCAGCGTTTTGCGACCTTTTCTATCGTTGCACATTCCACATTGCATGATCCGTCGGTGTCGGCAGTGTTTTATTGTCGTGGTCGGCGGCGGGTAGGCGGGTGACGAAGGGGGCGGTGCGGGGTATGATATCGTTGTTATATAATACAGTGAAGTAAGTCGAGTTGCTGTAAGTGTTTATTATGATATCGTTGTTATATAATACAGTGAAGTAAGTCCATTTGCTGTAAGTGTTTATATGATATTGTTGTTTTATAATACAGTGAAGTAAGTCGAGTTGCTGTAAGTGTTTATAAGTGTTTGGTGTATCTTCTGAGGAGCAGAAGATAACTCATATTGTATTGGCGACTTACTGTGTTTAGTTGAGTCAGGTTGCCGTGAAAGGCGCAGTAGGCATGTACGCCAAGGTATGCGTGATATTGCACTCAGCATGTATGGTAGTCGTGCTGAGTCATGATGCCTTGGTGGGTCCGCCATCAATTTTTTCTCAAATGATGGTGTTCGTTTTGAATGTTCAAAGACAAGAAACTGCTCAAAGGTTATGTAGACTTTTCTACTGAAGCATTTTTTTGACAAAAGACAAAGTTTTCTGCCATGTATGTGCATGCTTTGTGTATATTTTTGTGTGCAGAACACGTTGTGTATGTTTGCCACTTTCATGCTCAATTTAGAAAGTGCATAACTTGTTGGGCATGTAATCTCTCCATAAAATCTGTTGTGGCAAGCATTCTGGCAGTCAGTGATCTTTGGATATGTCTTTATGTGTGTTGTGCAATAGAAACTCATTTTTAGTCATTCATGTTTGTCTCAATGACTGGTCAGAGCAGGTGACTAGTCTGATATGGCTGTCTGAGGAAAAGTGCCTATTTCACAAAGACAATTCAGAGTCTGGGGACCCTGTTAACATATCACCACTTTCAGGCTTTGCAAAACCTCCTGAAGTGATGCATACAGATCTTTCCAGTCATCTTCACTCAGAGGAATGCAATGATCTTATAAACAAACTCCAGAAGTGTCACCAGGAGGTATGTTCCTTCCATGTTGCATCACTTTGGTGTTGATAAGGATGTGCGTATTGGTCGGCAGGGCAGACATTAAAATGCAAGTAGGGTTTGAATTAAACTCCCTTGCTCATGACATGTCATCACATTAGCTGAAATTGATTGCTGGTGATGGGTAGTGACAGGTAGTTAAGTATATTATTACATGACATTAAAGGGAGCATACTACCTTTTCACCTATTGTTGAATCAGACAGGTGCAATATGATCAGTAATACTGCTAACACACTAATGTTTCAAGTGTTTGTGTGATGGATGCTAGGAAAGCTGGGAATGCTCTTGAGATGACATGAAACATTTTACCATGGCTTTGATTCATCGTCTATTGCATCTACTACGGCCCTTGCCAGCTGGGCCCATCACAAAGGTTTTTTATTTGCACCGGTAGAGGTGTGCATGGTAGTTGTAGCGATAGTGGTCGCGACTGCTGGAAAGAATTGTTCTGTTAGAAAGCTTTGATGGTGTAATTTGGACAAGAAAATGATAAAAATTGAAGTCCTGATTATGGGCTTATGCTGCTACAGTGGCACTACCCAATGTTTTTATTAGATGTAACTGGTCCTGAGGTTTCTCTAGAATATGTTTTTGAAGTGTGCCCCAAAGGCGGAACATCCCTTCAAGTCTTACATGGCAAGGGAACATATAAAACAGAAAGCATTATGGTATTGCATGTTTTTCTCAAACAAGGTGTTCACCCGAGTTGTTTTGCCAGGATTATTCACTGTAGGGTCCAGGGACGTCTTGCATATTTGACACATGATCAAATAGAGAATTTGACTTGATATAGCATGCATGGAACATGCAGTGAAAGTGTGCACTGGTATGCTGTATACACAATCAATTTTTTCAGCAATTCTTTGGCAAGTGGATTGGCGCTTGCAACGAGATTGATGTTCAAGTACGGCGCTGTCTGAAACTCGAGGTAAGACTGTGCTTCATGACCCTTATTCGTAATCATCTCCTACCTTCTGTAACTTTGACATTGCGCTGACTGATTTGTACACAACATGAACATTTAATGGCAGGAACATTTAATTCCTCAACGCGGAATGATTGGGCGAAAGTGCTGCGCACATTAAAGACAATTCCCCGCGCATGCTGATGTTTCGAAATGCCGCACGAAATCCATGGGTTTCATTGGGGTCTGGTCTTCGACGTGGTACCGTGGTGTCTTGTGGGTGTTTTTGGCCGTCTCAAGCCCAACTATGGGTTTGATTCAAGATGAATTTATTATTGGCCCACGAATCACGTCATTTTTTCGTGAGTGGCGAGAACATTTTATTGTTGAAAATTAAACGTGAATCATAAATCAAACCATTCCTAAAATGAGTTAAGCAGAGTGGATCAAAGTCAAACTGAAAGAAAAACAAATCGATTCAAGATCGATGTGCTAAATCCCTACCCAAATTACATTCCTGTATGAATTAGACTGTTTGAGATACACATGTTCGATCAGACCCAGGCAACACAGCTAAAAGGTATTGACAGTTCTATAGGCAGGTAAATTGGATGGCAGGTGATCTATCCGTGGATGATCAATGAAACAATTCGCTCGGGGCACCAGCCGCGTGCGGCTCTGTATTCCAGACAGCCGAACAACCCACAGATCCGAGTTGAGTACCCGACCCCGGTCGTAATCAAGCACTCCGCCGCGTAAGTGGCGACACCTCTTGGTTGCGACTGCTAACAGTCAACTTTTATACATATCAGCAGGGTTCCGTCTAATTTACTGGGCCAGTTGCGGGCCTCTGGCTGTTTCGTGAACTCTCGGACCCCTTTAACGAGGGCCTATCCGGTATGTGGGGCCTGCTTGAGGGTTCACAGACATTGTGACCAGCCCAAACGCACTGGCTGGTTGAAATGTGTCTGAGGTGTGATGTGGAACGCTTGACAATACTGAAGTCGGCTTCGGATGTACGAAAATAAATTTTGACCGTATTGTGCAGACAAGTGCAAAGCCGTGTGAAGAGAGCAGATACGCGAATTGACGTCGTTCGCCCTTTTTGACGGTCAACGGAAGGAGATGCCGCAAATTAACACTGGTCACAATCATAAGCTATGTACTAGACTGGCACTCGGTCCGTCTTACATGCTGGCACTTGTTACGTGCCTTGCGGGTTGTACCCCACACTGCAAAAGGTGGCCAGACCATCGGTGCCCTGACGAGCTACTTTAGTCTGGTCAGCATTAGAAATATGGAGCAAGATTTTTCAATTACCGATAAATAACTCTGGGCGTACGAGACTTGCAGCGTTAGCATGCGTATTCGGAATCACTGATGTGGCTCTCATGACCACCAAGTTTACTTGCTTATTCCAAGCTTTTGTTGCAGCGCCTGCGAAAGCAGAAAGCCAATAACGAAGCGGCAGCAGTCAAGCACAAGCTTTTCCAGGAGCGCGTGAAGCCGCGACCGGACGCGCAGTGATGACGCTCACCCCGGCGGCCTCGGACGCGCCGTCAGTGCCATCTGGTGGCACGGGCGTGAACCGTTCCGTCGACGAGCGCGCGGTGCCCCGCATCGAGGACTCTGTTACGCCCGGCGAGCAGCCGCGCGACTTCCTGGAGAGATACTACGAGTGCCGCTACCTGCTGGACTGCCGGGAGGCTGGACACGACTACCGGCTGCTGTTCCACTCCAACGGCCTGATAGTGGTGATGCTGGCGCCGTCTCACCCGCTCACCACTACCGGCACAGATGTCACCGGCATCGACTTCCAGGTGTGTGTCCGCGGCAGTGTGAGCAGATGTGTGTTCCGTGCGCGTGCCCGTGCCCGTGCCCGTGTCTGTGGTGACCCCTCCTCCGGGTGCGTGCCGGATTTCCACGTCAGTGCCGTGGAAACACATGGTGAGAACAGGGTGAAATACTCGGCCATCCTGCGCGGATGCAAACTCAAGCACACGTGCGTTATCGCAAGCGCCCCAGACCCACGTGGCTTCTGTCGAACAACCGAAAATCATGATACGGCTCTCCGGCTGTCAGCTGGCACGGCATTAAGCCTGTGCCGTGGGATGCCCAAACCGTCGTCCCTGGACTTGGCGCTGATGCGTGTCAAAACAAACGGCTCGTCCTGTGCGATGGATGGCTGTCGCGCTTTGAGTGCAGGGAAGAGAGCCCCAGGCAGGTCGCTGGGCTGCCCGTAGGTTGTAATGGTATGAAACGGGCCTAGCGCGTGGTGCATCCCAACCAAGCTCCTGGGTGTCGCTGGTGTACCCAGTGGCGATGCAGCCTCAGTCAGATATTCCCTCTGAAATGATACCGTGATGTTAGGGCTTCCCTGAACGACACTTCAGCTCGCGTACCGCAGTTGCAGGTCGTTGATCAGGTGTTTATATGGCCGGCGTCGTTGTTGTGTCTTAATGACGCACCCAGCTGCTGAGGCTATACAGCGTCGCCAGCCTCTCACTCTGGCAGGATGGGCGGGCACCGCAGGGATTTCAACGCTGCACCTCAAGGTTGCCAGGCGTGCATGTCTGCCCATGACCTGACACCCACCAGATAGAAGTGCCTTGAAAATGTCGCCGGTTTGATCAGGGCGCAACCAGGGTCTTTGTAAGGGGGAGGGGGTACAAAGGGTCGACAAAAGGCCTATTGGGGGTGAAAGTCACCCCTCCGAAAAATCACTAGATTGGAGAAGAATGACTAGCATTTACACCACCACGAACTGGTGCAGAAATCGGAATCTGGTGGAACTGGCAGATGAAAGGTGGAATCTCTATGTTTGGTGTTGCTGTACCTGTTAATGTTTTTAGGGGACAGCATCAAAATTGTAAAGGTGGAATACACGTTCCAGTCTCATGTTTGAAGGGTGCGAATTGATTTGGAAATATTTCCGTACCATGTTTTCACGACGGTGGTTGTAGCGCGACGGGCGCCGCCTCCTTGTGCTACCTGCAGCGGCCAACGCCGTTCGCTTTTTTGCCGTTCGAAGGATTCTCGATACGGGTGGTAGTCCGTAATATGACCAGCCCCTCGGATCATTGGGCCTTCTAATCGGGCTCTTGAAATTTTCTCCCGAACGATGTAACGGGCCCATGGCTGGCAATGCGCGTGCGGGCCCACCGTCCGGTCCTGACTAACACAGGGCCCTTCCATTGCCTCAGTGTTAACTCCAATGAGTTATTATGTTTCCTTTTATTGTCAGAGAGCTCCGAGCAACGCAAGAGGCCCTCTGGTACTCGGGGCCCAGTCTATGTCCGTGTCCAGGCAATGTTTCCTTCACTGATTCAGAAACCCGTTGCCGACACAGGATCTATTAGGTACTACTGGCACTTGACTGGAACAGGGCCCGATTGGAAGGCCGAATGACCCGGGGGCTGGCTATATGCTACATTAAGGACCCCCGCGCGTGGGGGGGGGGAGTGTTTTGAACAGCGTTGTTGGGTCTTGATGGGTCTGATGCCTTGATGCCTCTGATGGCTCGGCGTTGTTGTAGGGCCTGACCAATGCAAATCGTGTGCTCGGCCTCGCCCCTGCGTGGGAAGTGGGCCCCCAGGGCTCAGACCTACAAGGGACCAACTATTCGGTGTTGTTGGTGTCTGGCCGAAATAAAGACCCGCATTGTCTCGGGGGTATCCGTTCGATGTGAGAAGTCCTCTGACCGACACCAACACACCGACACATTCGCTGACACCCACGTCGACCGACACAGCCCTCCGGGCGGGTATCCTTAACGCGACCTACAGCCGGCTCGGGGCCACTTACACTCAGGGTCCGTTGTTGGTCTCTGTGAGCCCGTGACCGACGAGGGGCCCCTCATTGTTTAAGGAACCTCGCGCAGTGCAAATCGCGGGCCCCGGCCTTGTTCCTGCTCGGGGAAATGGGCTCCCAGGGCTCAGGCCGACACGAAGCCTACTATTTGGCGCCGATAGTCTCTTCGAAATAGAGGCCCGTATTGTCCCAGGGTGTCCTCAGTCGGTGCAAGAGGCCGTCTGACTGACATTTGATGTCACGGCCCTCCAGACTGGGATTTCTAATGTGGTCTACAGCCAGCCCTCGGGGCCCTTCATCCTTCCAATGAGGCCCTTGATCGTCGGTCCCGAAGGGCCCATCAGGCCACGTTCGGGCCCCCTCGAACACCACCACTGACCGACTCGGGGCCCATGTCAACACAGGACCCCATATCAGGCACTCTGGGCATCCGGATGACAAGGGCTACTCATTGACTCAGGAGCCCCACCAACGTCATCGCGGCCTCCAGCATGGTCTGTAGGGAAATGGATCCTCAGGCCCAGACGGACACGAAGCCGACTTTTCTCTACTGTTGGTGTCTGGCTGACCTGTAGAACTACGGCGTAAGAGATATAGGCGGCTGGAGCGGAATAAGCATTAGATATGAGCAGAGAAGAAGTCTCTTGACAATATGTTTTGGATGTCGTGGTCGCCAAAGTAGAAAAGTTTACCTTTATTGTCTTCGTATGTAGTCTTCTTTCTATGTGGAATTTAGTTTTGCAGGGTGCGTGCTGTGACGTCATGCCATCGCGTGATGTTCCAGGTGACGGAGCACACGAACCGGCTGGAGAATCGCGTGCAGGGCAAGGGCAAGCGCGGCGCCCAGGTGGTGACTGCCGAGGCGCCGCTGTCCCGCGTCACGTGCGCGGACGGCGCCCAGTACGTGATCCCGGCCTGCGCGCGCGGCAAGCTGATCCAGCTGAACGAGAAGCTGCGCAGCCAGCCGCAGCTGCTGACGACCCACAGCGGCGGCGAGGGGTTCGTGGCCATCATTCTGCCGAAGCTGGGCGCCAGCAGCGGCCAGAAGGCGGGCACGGTGGACTGTGCCGAGTACGCGCGCCGCCGCGCGGCGTCGGCACCGGCGGCGGGTCAGGACAGCGCGGGGTCGGCGGCGTGTTCAGAACGAGATTGCTAGTGCTGCAGTGACCCATGTGAGGTCATACAGGCTGACGTGCGCTGCGTTCTCAGGTATCCGAGCCCTGTTGCATCTTGAAACTCCCAAGTATGAATGCGTAGCATGATTAATAATCTGTTGACTATCGATAGTTTGTCGATAGAGGTTTGAGAACTATAATATATCAATGTGAAAATGGGGAAGGCTGATGCAATTCTGTTGTCCAAAAGCTGTCAGCTGGGTCTTGCTTCATGTCCGAGTTCCAACAGGCCCAGAATAAGTGTACGAACACATTGAAAAACTGAACGTATGGGATCACTTTTGGCAAGCTCATCGGCTGAAAATTATGTGGTTTAGACGGGCGCAGATCTCTTTTGAAGGGAAAGTTCCACATTTAAAGAAATTGAAGTAGGCATCAGATATGATAAAATGAACTCACTATTGGCATGCTGTTAAACGGAAAAGGGTGTTCTAGTCAACATAATTTATCTAAATTAGCCCGCTTATTATTGGTTTACGTTTAAATGCAAAAGTATATTTTAGCCAACATAATCTCTGCTCAGGGAATATGCCCCTTAAATCATCGTGTGATTGCGTCATGGTACCTTGCGCAACGTTGATTGAAAGTCAATGGACGGCCGTTATATCCAGTGAATCGTGCTCATGAACGCCAGATATGAACAACTCGAGTTTTTTTATTGCATTTGATCACCGCATGGCCAATGGAATGGCAGTACTTGAATGGGATTGTTGTGGCGTCATGGGTACCTTGTTGAACTCGAAATAGTCTGCACACTTACGCGGGCGCGTAGTTCAGAAACGAGAAGGGTTTAGGTGTTGAGAAAGACGGGCTGTAAACAGCCTGAATGATCCCCAAGATGGCTGTTTCGGTTCAAAAGCCCATAGAAATGTGGACCCCCCCCCCCCCCCCCCCAACAAAAGGTGTCGATTTTGACGTGCCAGTCATCGCTAGTCATATTGACGTTGGATTGCGTCTGTTTGTCGAGGATGGTTCCCTCCGCTCCCGATGCTTCTTGTTTGATTGGCCTCGCTGTCGATGGACAGATTAAATATGGTGTTAGAACTGGAAAAGGGGAGGTTTTTACCTTTAACAAGACACCGTACTTTTTCCGTGCAACGGACTCCCTTGATAAGAACACTAGAGCACAATATTATTCCCGGTCAAGTGTTGAAGAGTCATTTCGTCCATCCGCGGGTTGTTATCCATTCTGGCGACCCTGGGTGTGATCCCCTGGCCGATCCTTAGGCCCTTAGGATGTATATATATATATATATATATATATATATATATATATATATATATATATATCACATTGGTCCCCTCCCTGACGCTGGAGGTCTTCTGACCTGCGTAGTTGCGCCCCGGATCGATACAGGAACTCTCATTGAGGCAAGAAGATCCCCGATCGCCGCAGGTGGTCCAGTAATTACCGCGTAGACCCCAGCCCGACCTGACGGGCCCGTGGTTAGCGCTGGGTCGAAGGGCCCACCGGTCGGTCCGGAGCCCCAGACATACACATGGCTCTTCCATATCATCAAGGTGAACTCTCGTCATAAGTTAGCAGGTTTCTTTTCGTTGTCAGCGGGCCTGTACCAACGCTCGGCGCCCCTTTTTGACAGAAGACACTGTTAGAAGTTGTGGGTCCCTGACAGACGCCGGAGCCTCGTATCGTTGCTGAAGTCACATTTGTCACACATCAAGTCACATCGCAAGTCACATTCGAAGTCACAGCCCTGTGGACGGAGGTTGCCCTTATGGTGACCTACGGCCAGTCCTTACAGTAAAATATAATGCGGTCATAATATAATAATGCAAAAATAAAATAATACAAAAAATAGATGCATTGCCAGTCAAAAAAGTTTTAGTTTTTCCAATGTCTAGGCTGCCAAGGTATGGGGCGCGTTCGGCCGTCAGGTAATCTCGGAAAATTATCCGGAATGTTGGGAAATTTTCCGGAGTGGCGTTCGGCGCCGCCGCCATGGAAAATTATCCCAGATACTTTTCCGTAGCGAGGGAGAATCGCAAGGCGGAGAATCTGTTTTTGTTATACATAGCAATGACCGTTGGCTGTGGATGGCGCATGGTAGACTAATCTGGGGCACAATTTCCGGACCGGCTCAGTAAAAGTGGATTTAGACTTACGGCAGAACTAATGTCGCGGTAACGTCTGGCCTATTTTAGTTATAGAGTGAATACATGGGATGGACATATATATATATATATATATATATATATATATATATATATATATATATATATATATGTATAGCATGTAAGAAAAACACGCATCGATAGCAAATGGGCCGCCTCCGGCGACATTTTTGTGGGGGGCCCTTTGTCAACTATGCGTCCTTGCCAACTGTCTGGCTGCGCCCCAGCCTCCGCTACGATCCGCAAAGAAGAAATGGCCGCTTGGAGTTCACACAAAGTGAATGGCAGAATGCACGTGGAAAAATTTACACGGATTGTCTCAGCACGAGCTGGGACGTGAAACCGTATGCTTTCATTCCGCATCCGGCAGCGCTCTTCTAGTGCCCGACCGACTGCATTGGCCACGTCGTCGGCCGCACATCTTGCCCACGCACGCACGACAATGGCAGCAGGCTGGCAGGAAAATGGCCGGAAATGCGTGAAATTTGTGACCACCGTTGCGATGGCGGGGAAAAGCCATCCATTTTCTTAACCTATTCCCCTAGGAGGGTGGTGCGTCTTGACTTCGCTGTCACTTTGCGGAGGGCAGTCAGATTAGACAGAGTACTACCGCGGTCAAAATTCCTAAAGGCACGTCGTGCACGAATCACAGTCCGACATGCCTCGGTCCATCATGGGAATTGGGAGCGGCACGGCGCCCCAGTCGTTTCTGGAATGCATCCATAAGCGGCGTTTAAAAGCAGACAAGACGTCTGCAGATAAGGGCTCTGGCTGGGAATAGTCTGGTCGAAATTTAAACTCACACCTGTCGACTTTTCTGAAGTCGATCTTTCCGCTGCCCGTTGTGGACGCAAAGTTTTCCTCGGCTATTACGGTAGTTGAAAAGGTGCCGAACTCCACCGGCACACCCCGATCGGTCTCGCTTGTGCGTCTCACCGCCGGCCAGAACGGGAACCAGCGCAGTATCGGTACCCTTCCTGGTCAAACGGCTGAACCACCCGTCCGCACAACCCTCCTAAATCGTCTAAAACATACGAGCTCACATCCACCACTTAGAACGTGTTATCCGTTACTCAACACATCACAAGGGCGTAAAAAAGCAAGCATCCTGTCCAGCACTAATACATCGCCGATGTACACGAGACGGCCTGCAACAACGTCCAATCGGTATTCACGAATAAACAAGAGCATCTAGCAAACGCACCGAGACCGATATATGATGCGCAAAGGAAGCGGTGAGCACGAAGAATGAGTGGGTCTCTGCTTGCGGCTTGTGATACCCTCGAAGAAGATGTACGATCAGTTGGTGTACACTAATGAAGCATGTTCATTTGTAAACGAGCCGAGGCGCGGCGCCAGCTCCCTAAAGTAAGCAGAATAAAATCCAGCCTTTGTACAGACGCCGTCTTAAAACACCCGACGAAAAATGGCAATACACGTCCAGTCTAGTCTGCTGAGTTCTGCCCGACCCCACAGATTAATCTCTGCCATGACAATCACGCCGTCAGTCCGCCAACGGGAAGACTCTCGCGTCCCCCTCGCCCGGACACGTCCACAAGGTCGCGCGGCAAAACAATATCAAACCCAACACGCCACTGCGGAACAACCACGAACATCATGGGAACGACTGGTAAAACATCGCGGAGGCGGCGCGGTATCACAGCTGCTGCTAGCGGGCACGGCCCGGCTAAAAGAAAGGCGAGCGCGTTACCCCCGGCGGCTGGAACGGCTGGCGCAGCGACGAGAGCTGCGGGTAGCCGGGCGGGTAGCCGCCGGCGGCGGCGCCCATCAGACCCATCATGGCGGCGCCGGCCTGGTGGTGCAGCAGCAGTTCACCCTGTTGCCGGTAGTACTGCTGGTAGACGGCGTCCGAAGCCAGCGGGTGCGCGCGTGCGCCGAACGGCGGCGTCAGCAGCTGCGGCTGAGCGACCGGCGAGCCGCCGCCGCGCGCCGGCCTGCCGCCGGCCGCTGGCAGGTTCTGGTGCGCGGGCTGCGGCGAGCGCGCCTGACCCAGCAGGTACGGGTAGCCGGCGCCGCCCAGTGCGTGCGGCTGTAAGCCGGAGGCCAGCCCGAGCGCGCCATAGCCAGCGCCGGCCATAAGACCGCTCAGGTGGAGCCCACCGCCGGCCGCGGCGCTGGTGGCCGGCGGGCCGTCCTGCCTGTTGACCACGCCCTGCGGCTGCTGCTGGTGCTGGTGCTGCTGCTGCTCCTGCGGCGCAGCCTGCTGCTGCTGCTGCTGTTGGAATGCTTTCATGGATTGCTGGTGCTGGTGATAGAGCTGCATGTGCGGACTAGCCATCTGCTTGTAGTACGACACTGAGTTGGCGCCCCAAGGCATCTGTGAACTGGAAGGCATAGACGTGGATATGGAATCTTGCATTTCTGATTGTTCAACACTCAGTTGTTGCTGCTGTTGCTGCTGTCGTTCTTGTTGCTGCTGCTGTTGTTGCTGCTGTTGCTGTTGTTGTTGCTGCTGTTGTTGCTGTTGATGCTGTTGCATCTGCTGCTGCAACTGCTGCTGCATCTGATGTTGCTGTTGCTGTTGCCGTTCTTGTTGCTGCTGCTGATGTTGCTGCATTTGCTGCTGCTGTAACTGTTGTTGCTGCATCATCATCATCTGCTGCTGCTGCTGATGCTGCCGCTGCTGCTGCTGCTGCTGCTGGTGCTGCTGTTGCTGCTGTTGTTGTTGCTGTTGCTGCTGCTGTTGCTGCTGTTGATGTTGCTGTTGCCGCTGCTGCTGTTGCTGCTGCTGCTCCTTCTCGTTCTGCTGCTGCTCTACAGCTAACTTGATCTTCTGTTTCTGCTCGATCAATTTGACCTGTTGCTCGAGCTGCCGAATCTTCTGCTGCTGCAGCAGCTGCTGGGCCGACTGTTGCTGTTGCTGATCGCCGTTGGTCGGGGTCTTTCCACGGGCTTGTTGCGTCGGCAGGCGGGTCACCAGCTGCGACAGGTGCGCTAGGTTACCCAGCAGAGAACCGGCCGTCGCAGGCTGCGCCACCGCCTGCGGGGCCGACTGTGCCACCACCTGCGGGACCGGCTGTGCCACCGCCTGCGGGGCTGATTGCGCCACCGCCTGCGGCGCCGATTGTGCCACCGCCTGCGGGGCTGATTGTGCCACCGCCTGCGGCGCCGGCTCGCTAGCCACCTGCTGGGGCGGGGGTGGCGCTGGCCCCGTCTGTGCACGTTTCTTCGGCGTGCAGCCGGCTCTGTCGTCACTGAGCCGAGCTTCGGCGGACGGATCAGCACCCGGCGCCAGGCTGGCTGCCGCTGTGTCTGCGACGGCCGCGGGCAGTGTCCGGAACGACGGGCCGGACACGGCGTGGTCCGGCCGAGCCGAGCCAGACTCGGGCGCCGACGCAGCGTCGACGGGCGCGCGCAGCACCGTCCGTGCGGCGCTGGCCTGATCGGCAGCTGTCGATGGCGGCTCAGCGCCGGTTCCCACCCCGGCCGGTCCCGAACTGGAGGCGGCGGGCGTCGGGCCGGCCAGAGACGCCGACAAGCGGCTCGGGCTGGCCACAGCCGGGACTGCGCGGCCCGGGCTGGGCAGCGCCGAGTCCGCCCGGCCAGGCGGCGACACCAGCGGCTCGGACGGCCGGGCGGCTGCAGGCGGGCAGACCAGCGGGCTCACGGGCGCGCGCGCCGGACTGCCCTTGAGCGAGGCCGGCGACGGCACGCTGGCCACCGAGCCGGGCCGGCCGCGCGGCGACTTGTCCGGGCTGGCCGTCTTGGCCGTCACATCCTGATAGAAGCCGGGCTTGGTGTCGCAGGCCGGCCTGCTGGCGTCGGCACCGCCAGGTGGCTGCTGGGGCGAGAACGCTGGCGAGCGCTGCACGGCGTCGGCCGGCGAGACGATGCCGCCGCCGGGCGTCATCGGCGACTTCTCGCTCTCAGAGCTCGTCAGATAAAACGGCGAGCGGCCGTCGGACGACTCCAGTCGCTGCGCCTCGCGCGCCTTAACCTGCAGCCGCGCCTTCTCCAGCTCTTCGTCGTCATACTCGTAGGGGTCTACCTCGGGCTGCAGCGCGTGCGTCGGTGACGACGGTGCTCGTTTCCAGCGCGGCCGCGCCGGAGATACCGGACCGGCCGGCGGCGGCGGCGGCTGCGCTGGAGCAGGGACTGGCGCTCTCTTCGCAGCCACCTCATCCAGCTGCTTCGCCTCCACCTGCGACGGCCGCGACGAGCGAGGCTCTTCGCGCGGCGGAGGCCACTTGGCGCGGCGCAGCTGAGCCGGCGGCGGCGCTGGCTCCGCCGCCTTCTGCGAGCTGAACGCATGGAACCAGGCGCTCAGGTTAGGCGTGGCCGTTTTGCGGAGCACGGGCAGCTCTCGGCCCTCGGTCGGCTCGGCTATCAGCCGGAGCGGCTCGTCAGCCTCCTCAGCGCGGCACCCGGCCACCGGCGGCTCGGCCTTCAGCCGACGAACCACCATCTCCTCCCAAGCCTCCTCGCCCGTGCGCTCGCTGCCGCCACCGCCCAGCACCTTGCCCATGGTCAGGCCGGACCTGTTGGCCAACAGCGTGGTGCCGCTCCCGCGCGACTCACGCACGCGCGAAATCAGCTCGCCCAGCTTGGCGCTCTCCTCCTTGGAGATGCACCGGCTGCTGAAGAGCGGCCGCGGTCGGCCGACGCGCGGCTCGAGCGCCGAGCGGGCCGGCTCGCGCGGCGGCCCCACCTTCTGGGCGGTCGGCTCGGGAGCCAGGTCCGGCCACGAACCGCTGTCCTCGCTGTCCGAGCCCGGAGCGGGCGGTCCGCCGGCGGCGGCCGCCTCTGACACGCCGAGAGGGCACGGTTTCTCCTGACGCTGGACCGCCTCCTGAGGTAAATGGTCATTGTCATCACGCACTTGTACAGCGGAATGCCACACAAACATTACTGCGAACAATCAAATGTCAGCTGGGGACATCCACACACTTCCAACTTAGACGAGCTGGACACCGGAAGACAGGCGCGACAGATGTTCGCTGTCGACTCCACACCAGATGTAATGGAGTTTAAAAACGGGGCGGTACTTGATCTACAACTGCGACGAAACCCATTCCGAGCAATCTGGTTCAGTCAATCTGTCAGGAAAAGTGAGGCGTGGTAGAAACGACCTTTACAAGATTCAGCCAGGCTAGAAACTGGTCTATCCGCATCGCGTCATCGATGCGCGATGGCATAGAAAATATCCTCCCCACAAAAAAACAACAAAAAACGGGATGGCCAAACCGCCATATAATATGGCATGAGTTGTGTTTAACTGGACTTCGTCGTAAGACTTTCAGAACATGTTAGCAAACCACAAAGATAGCAGTAAGTAGTTAAATACGATAGCAATTCCGTCAAAGCATGAAATATGACCACTACAACTCATGATTGGCGTCACCACCTATTGTAAAGCGGAAACCTCCAAAACACTCCCTAGACAAACAACATCATAGATTCCTTCCGATCACAAGCGGCCGTCACACACCGCCATTTGAGACCCACTGACCATTCCAGCATTCGAACACTCGCGATGCGAAAAAAGTGGAGAGGGGGTGGTATTTCCAGCTGCCCGCACTTACCGCCCTTATGTTGGAAACATCGGCCGACGCATCGTCCAGACGCTCTTGTTCGCGTTTCTCGCGCTCGCGTCTTTTCCGCTTTTTCTTTTTGCTGTTCCTCTTCTCCTTGTTCACTCGGGACCGCTTCTGGCGCCTGCTCCTGCGCTCACGCCGCTCGGTCGGCCCAGCCTTCGAGTCACTGCTCTCCGGCGCCGCGTCGGCGTCGGAGGTCGGCCGCCCGGCCTCCGCGCCTGCCGCCGCCTCCGCCGCCAGCTTCCGCCGGCGCATCTTAGCCGCGAAGATACGGCCCTGCGCGATGGCCTTCTTGGGCGAGCCGGTGTCGCTGTCGTCGTCCTCGTCGGAGAACTGGAGCGCCGGCGGGGTGTTGGGTTGGTGCACCGGCCGCCGCACTGCCAGCTCGTCCGGCTCCTCCCGGAACGTGTACGCGTCGGCCTCGGACGCGACGTCCGCTGACAACGCCGGCGGCGGCGGCGGCGGTGGTGGTGGTGGCGGTGGCGGCGGCTGCGGTGGCGGGGGCGGCGGCTGGGGACGCTGGCGGGGCGGCTGTCGTTGCAACTGCCGGCGGCGTCCGCGCGCGGCCGGCGCCGTAGGGGGGAGAGGAGTGGTGGCGCCGGCGGCGGTGATGGTGCTGGTACTGGTGACGACCGTGCTAGTGGTGGAGCTGGTGATGCTGCTGCTGCTGCTGGTGGTGGTGGTGTTGGTGACGGCAGCGGTTAGCTCCGAGGACGCCGTACGCAGTAGATCATCAAACAGCCGTTCCGTGTCCTCGCGCGTCGGCGGCTTGGCAGCCGGCGAAGCCAGCAGCTCGTCGTCACTGTAGTCGATAAAGGGCGCCACCTTCTTGCGACCGTGCCCGGCCGTTGCCTCCGGGCCAGACCGGCGACCACGACGCTTGGTGGTGCCGCCGACAGCTGGCCGCGGTGTGGCGCGGCGCGCCACCACCGGCACTTGCGACACGTCAATGAAGATCTCCTCCTCGTCCTCTTCCGTGTCCAGGTACTTGCGCACCGCCTTGTGGAAGGCACCCTCGATGTTCACCACCATCCCAGTGTACTCTGGAAGAGAGACGACATGGACTGCTGACGAACGCACCAGGCAGTACAAAGTGACAGTGCTACAGGCTGGTAAGTCTTCAGCAGCAAATGACATCACGGATTCTCCATTCCAGCAACAAACCAACAAATCTATCACACCCCATTCATCACAGTTCGGCGGGCGATCCAACTGAGCCAAGGTCGATAACACCCTGCAACCTCACCATTCTCCAGGCCGTTGTACAGCTTGCAGTTGTCGACGATGAGCTTGAAGTCTGCCTCGAACTGCTGCCGGCTGACATAGACGCCCGCGTCCAGCCGGCTCTCCAGCTTGTTGAGGTCCATGGGCCGCCGAATGACGGCGTAGTAGTTGGGCGCGTACTCCTCCTCCACGGGGTCGAGGAAGGGCCAGGCCTCCTCGTGCGCCTTCACCGCCTCCAGCACCTTGTACATCCCCACGCACAGCTCCTCGTCCGTCTGTAGCACGCTGCAGCACCGGGATGAGAGCGGTCGGCGACAGGCAAGCACGGTACTGCGCAGGTGGCGCCAGACCGATGGGCCCCATCAGTGTGATGGGCTTCCACACGGTGCGGACGTCTCGTTCCCCTTTGATTGTGCAGGTGCAAGAATGATTTAGAGTTCGAGATCAGGAGGAACGACCGCGGACATGACTGAGGGCTTCCCCCTCGTGTTCACCGTTTGCCGATTCACAATGGACAAGTTTTTAAGAGTGTTTTATTTTGAGCTGCATCCAGAGAAGAATGTCAAAGAGAATGTGTTGCTCACATTCGTAATGTTTGTTTCTGCCAGAGTACTCACAAAAAATGATCCGATTTCATGAAAGTCATCTAGCGTCCGTTAGCCCTATGCATCACGTGATCACGCCGATTCCGGCCCCCAAACATTAAGCTAGCTATGGAAGTGTTATATGACGATAAGGTACATTAAGTGGCCCCCCGTATGGCATAGCAGACCACGGCGATTTCCTGAGAGCGACACAAAGATATGAGTGTGGAATCCAAACAGAATACGTTTGAGCAGTTTTCTGTGCCCCATTCATTCTGTGCATGCGCGTTTTGAAAAATGTTGACGCATAATCTGACATTTCGCCAGTTGCACGTTGCTTGTAACGCCATACAGAGCAGCGAACCGAACAAACTGAAAGGCCAAGGTCTGCATGCATGGTCGTCGAGCTAAGTTGAGTTAAGTTGAGCTAAGTTGTTCTATATGCTACTGCGATGTCTAGCGTTAGTAACCCAGGACCACGTAGGAAGACTAGCACTCTCCGTCCCTGTAGCTTAGTTGGTTGGAGCCCCAGCCCCCCGATCCAACCACCCGTGGTGGGAGTGGGTTCGGATCGCTTTAGGCGCTCGCTATTTCTGTCGACAGACATAGTCTGCGGTCGAAGGTTGCTTTCGTGCTGAATAAAGGTCAGGTGACGTCAGAGGGCAGGACGGACCGTGCGGACCATTGCGGCACGTTAAACTTTCGTCACCAAATTCTGCCGTTGATCTGGAATTCCCCGACCGGATGCCAGCGCCCAGGGATCAAAACAAGCACTGCCTGGCGTCAGCTCTGAACCCAAGAATTCATCCATTCAATAGTTCGGACAAGAACTTAACAGAAAAAAATCAAACAGCGCAAACGGCCGGACGTAAGACGTTACGCAATGACAGTTAACATTCTCCACTAAACGATAAACGCCCATGCCAGCTGATATCGCGGTGCCAGACGGACGCACGCCGCGAGCTGTGCGCGGCGCCTGTGGCGCCACATAGCCTCAGCGGCCGAGTGCGTCGCAAATCTCTGATGGCGCCCACGGGAGTGTCGACGGCACCCGGAGAGTCCCACTCACATAGCCGAGCTGCGGATCTTGCTGGTGGAGCCAACGGCGGCCGGCGCCGTCTTCCGCGCCTCGAGGGGCTCGTCGACGGTGGCGGCGCTGGTGCGGCGGCTGGCCGGGGCGCGCGGGCCGGCGCCGGTCGCGCGCCGCCGCCCGCCCGACGGCGTGTACTCCTCGTCCAGGGCGCTGGCGGCCTTGTGCGGCCGGCTGGCCAGGCGCGCGGCCGCCGGCGGCGGCGGCTTGGTCGCTGGCGGGTCATCGCTGCCGTGGGCGGCGCCGGCGGCGGGCGACGGGGGCGACCGCACGGAGTCGTCAGTAGGCGACGGGGGCGACCGCACGGAGTCCCCGGCGGGCGCGGGCGTCACCGCGCAGCCTCGTCCGGCCGGGAGGGCCGGCTCTGGCGGGACCGGCTCCGGCGACGCGGTACGACTGCGGGCCCAGCGGCGGGACCGGCCGCGCCTGCCCGTCCTGTTGCTCAGCTCCTGCGACTGGATCAGGGCGATAGCCCGCTGGATGAAGCTGAAACAGGCCAAAACACCGTCAATGAGCGGATCTCTGGCATTAGATGGAGGCATGTGATGGCAGGAAAATGACGTAATGGATGCACCTGATCGATGACGCTGTGCAGGAGTGAGATGGTGGGATCAGTCAGTGGACAGTGGCGGGGTACTTCGTCTCCATATATCCCGAAACAATACGCTGATAGCGTGAGATAATCAGCCCATGAAAAACCTACATCTTAATCTCAACATCCCGCCAGCGATTTAGCGGACCACCGCAAAAGGCCATCAGCAAGCCTCAGCATGCCACGAAGCGACCGTGTCCAATCACTGCAATACAAGCGGCCTGTCTTGCCGCGACCCTGTCCGGTAAAAATACCGCGGGTGACATCATCCGTTCAACTGTACTGGAAATAATTAGGCGAAGTGTTCCAAGTAGCAAGCGGCAAGCTCTGCACTTCGCTAGCGCTCGAGCTCGAGGTCACCCTATCCGGGCATTAAGAGTAAATTCACACAGAAGGGATGAATGCAATCCGCAGATCACATCCGTCGCTACTTACGCATCTTCTTTGGCCTGCGCAGTTCGACCGAGCCCTCCTTTCAGCCGTCGCTTTTTTCTCTGAGTGGTGTGCTCCTCCGCCTTCGTCCCGCCTGTTCGCTTCCGTCGCTCGGTCGCGCTGGTGCCCTCCGGAGGGTCGGACGGGATGGGCCCGGTCACCGTCGAAGCACACTGTGCAGCCTGGCCCTTCCTGCCGGGCCGAGCGGCCGTTCTCGCGGACACAGGCGGGGTCGAAGTCACCACGGACTCGTCCGGCAGATGTGGCCGCGTGTTGGATGGGGCGGGCGACAGCACGTCGGAGCCAGCCTCTGGTGGCTGTGTGGCTGATCGGCCACGCTTTTTGCTGGCTGAGGGAGCGGGAGGACTTGAGGGAGGACGTGGTACCTTTCGGGCTGGTCGTTCACGTGTTTTACTGGAAGAGGCAGAGGGCGAAGTAGATGGAGAACACGGACCCTTTCTGGTTGGTCGTCCACGCGCTTTACTCACAGACGCAGCGGACGCGACAGGGGGAGAATGTGACGCCTTTTTGTCAGCGCGTCCACGCGTTTGACCGGCGGAGACAGCAGGTGAGACAATGGGAGAATGCGACACCTTTCTGGTTGGTCGCTCCCGAGTCTTGCTTGCAGAGACGGCGGGGGAGGCGGAGGGGTGTAATGCGTTTACCCTGTTACGATCGCACGCCCTTCTCGCAGACGCCGCTGGAGAAGGCGAACGAGAACGCGCCGGTCTCCCTCCTCGTTTGAGTTCCGTTTTGCCTGCCACGGCAGCTGGCGAGACAGAGGGAGACCGCGACGCCGTCCTGGTTTTGCGGTGGCGCGTGTTTGCTGTCGCGCCGGCCGGCGTCGCCGCTGTTACTGGGGAGAGCTCGCTGGCGGGGCGTCGGCGCGCCCTGCGCACCGGCTCGGCCGAGGCGGCCGCGGGGGGCACCGGCTCGCCGGCGGCACTCCGGTCAAGCTTCGCCGATAGCGGCGAGGGGGAGACATCGAACGGAGCCGTCCTTTGAGCCGCATCAGAGGATTTTCCTGACGACGTAGACAGCGGGACGCACATCGGCTTCTCTCCCTTCTGCGTCTCCCCACGGGCCGTTTTCCCAGCGGCGAGAGTTGGGCAGGGAGCGGGGTCGTCGCATTTCAGGTGGCGGGCCAGCCTCCGTCGTGGTCCCATTGTCACCTGGTGACGTTCTGCAAAACAAAGGCATGATTCAAAAGGGTTGAATGGCAACGTTTCCTTGTGTTCCTACATGATGGCAGCAGGACATCCAATTGATGCATTCTACACGAACAAACAAACAATAGGACATTCTTTGATAAGGTGTGCCACGAACCTAGTTATAAAGTCGGGCACAAATAAAAAGGTAGCCCCTGCAGCTCACAAATGATAAGCCAGGCACAGTACTTACGTCTTGGGGAATTCAATGGATACACATAACTATGAAGTAGACAGATACTGGTATTTAACTCAGCTCATGACGAATCCTTGTGGAGAAATACTGCAGCGGATAAATTTCGCCACAAATGAGCGGCAAGTGTATGTGAGTTTTCTTCGCTAAGCGACGGAGATGACTCATGGAAAACGATCGCGAAGACCTGCTGCGTTCCATGGACGACACACGTTTGCATCATTTCGGGATGATGCAAACGTCTGGGGGAATTCAATGGATACCAGAACTATTAAGTAGACAGATATCGGTATTTAACTCAGCTCATGATGAATCCTTGTGGAGAAATACTGCAGCGGATTAATTTCGCCAAAAATGAACTCAAGTGCATGTGAGTTTTCTTCGCTAAGCGACGGAGATGACCCCTGGAAAACGATTGCGAAAACCTGCTGTGTTCTATGGACGACACATGTTTGCATCATCTGGGGATGCATTCGACTCATTCATCGGGCCTCCTGGCCGATCCGATCTCTGGTAGGTGGGATGCTCGACAGGAACCGCGTAGTGCGCTGACTATCAGGGACGTACAAGGGTCATGGGAAATACACCTCATCTGTAAGCCAGCTTTTCATGCAGCAACACGAGGTAAATCACTTACAACTTTAGACGGAAATCGACCGGTGACCGCCCGCATCTCCCCCCTCCCCCCCCCCCCTCCTTCCCCGCCCTCTTGATACACGTGTGTGCGCTGGGACGTTTTTGTTGTAAGAGCTCCATTTTATCTGCTTCAAGAAGCGTTCGTAAGCCCATGGGACTAGCGTGAATTCGAACCCAAGACAAACACTGCCACAACGCTTAACGATTTTCCGCTATGTACTCACGCGACGAAGCTGATGAGACACGCCAAACCAGTGTAAGGAATGACCCGGAAGCATCATTTGTGGCACTCGGATGAAATAAGGCCACAATCTGCTTACGAAGACGAAATCAGAGGCTTTCCAGCTGTCACATGTTGATGTCCAGATTTTCACGGTGATTAGTGTCGCTACGCACTTACAGTTTCAAGAAAACCATACTTGTAACACTGCAAATACCGAGCTCCCTTATTTCGCCGCTACCACTTGTCAATACTGCTATATATTTCTGTGTTATCACACTCTACAGTGACTTCCAAACCCATACTCCGCAAGACACTGGAAGTGCCGTTTTCCTCTAGCAGTGGATTTCGCTCTCACAAAAGCTGCTCTTCATGGGTCGTTTCGCTACATCCTTTGCAATTTGTCTCGCTCTACACGTGTGGTTTCGCCAGCACCCCCTAACGCAAGGCGTTTAGGCGATACAATTGATCGTCGCTGTGGACCACCTTTTTCGCCACAACGAATAAATGCACTTCATATTAATGGTGCTTGCCGGACGCCGGCAATACACGGCACGTGCAGGTTCGTCGTTTTACTTGGAATGTTCACCGGTGGGGACTGAACGATTGACCGGTGACATTTTTACGACGCAAGACTGTGAAATTGCGACCCTTTAGGTAATATGAACGTTTAGCCGGGACAAAACACAGAATGACGAAGAAATGGGTGGTAAGACCAGGCAATAAATCGGTGCATGCGGTGATGTTTATTTCGCCACGACTCTGGCTCCAGTTTCGGAAGTGTTGCATACGGCCCCGTTCCTCGCGATACCGACGTTCCTGGCTTGACCAACGATTACTGGCGCACCATGCGTCGCACAAACTCGTGTTGAACAAATTCATTGCGGATGGTACTTTGGTCGTCCCTTACGTACGTCCTTTGAAATTGTATTTGCGCCTCTGCCCACTCTGTCGACCGATTTATGGTGGAAAACATGAAAAACTGTAAAAACCAGAAAACTCCATCTTGGACGATTCTGTGCACATGACACGCGGCACGCGCGCCAGAGAATCTGGCACCACGCGATTCCCCATTCAATTCCCTACCGATGCGTGCCAATTTCTGGTCGCTACGGCTGGTTACCGAGATATGGCCACGGTTTCAAACGGCTGGCCGTCAGTTTTGTCATCGTAATTTTTTTCACATTTTCGGACTGCCCGTACAACACCGATGGGCTTAGAACGGTCGTTGTTGCATCTCGTCAGCCCGTAAGCCAGGGAGCATGGAGAAGGAAACCCGCCTCCGGATATGTCATTACTTTACGATCGAGCAGAGAACAAACGTGGATGAATACCATGGCAATTCCCTTTCGAGGATAACCTTCCTATGCTTGGTTGGATAACCCGCCTTCCTTTAATGCCAGGTAAATAAGCGGATAAGGGTAAAGTCAATTAAAACCTGGGGCAAACACCCCCAAGCAAAAAAAGTTGAGCACGCGTTCACTCGGTCAGGGCCGTAAACCATCAAAAGCCGCCTTCACGATACGTGAGAAACTTGTCATTTGACTGCAGTAAAGCAGTGAGGCTGGCAACCAGTCCCGGCCCGCTCACATCCTTGTGGTTGAGGCCAGTTAATACACTTACTGAGCGGATCATGCTAGTAATTTCAAAACATGACGACATAAGCAGATGAATGCAGTGCTAATTCAAACCTAAGACAAACGTTCACACAGGGTACACAGATGCCTTGCTCCATCGTCATCAAAGCCGATGACGACTGAAGATGAGCAGTGGCCAAATCCCGGCAGGTCGGGGGATGCCGTGCCTTGGCTTTGCCATAGTACGGGCTTTCCCAGGCTTGATAAAGGGCGGTAATGCCACTGGTGCCGAGACTTCAATGCGGCGCGGGCGCTAGCCGCGGGGCGTAACGCCGCGGGGCGGACGGAACATCGGAAATCCTCGCATAGATAATGTACGGACTGTTAGCAGGAGGTGTATACGACCGGCGAGCCGATTACGTACATTTACTGGTGATTATGACGATGTGCTTTGCAAGCCTAAGCTAAGCGTTAGGTGAAATACAAAAACCCGAGAAGTAAAAACGTACACACTGCAATTATAAGAGATAGGACGGCCGCAACAACATGCTCCCTTCGCATCGATAATGGGCTGTTCGCGGCGGGTCCATGCGACTAACGAGTCAATAGCGTACGATATGACACTGACTATGACGATGTGCTTAAAAAGGTTATGCGGTCAACAACTGCACTAAAATCGGGGGGAAACCGAGAGCTCTTGCGCGAGAAGTGCTGCGGGGATGGCCGGACGGGATACCGGACTGCTTTCGTACCGACAACAAACAAGCTGTTGAGGGTAGGCGCGTGCAAACAAGGAGCCCAAGGCGTACAACTTAATGGGGAAAATAACGACGTGCTAATAACAGGTTTATGTTCCTATCGGTTAAAATGCAATGAGCGTGAAAAGCGAAAACGCGCACACGTGGCCTGTTGGAGGTAGGCAGCCTGAACATCAGGTCACCCCTTCTTATCAGTAAGAAGCAGATGATTACTGATGGGTGCCTATATCTGCGAACCGATCAGGTGAAACGAAATGACAAGTATGAGCATGTGGTGTGCGAGCTTACATGCAGCAAAGACGTTAGAATTCAATAAGCGTGGGAAGTGAGTACGACCACGCAGGGGAACACGGGTGCTAGGGAGGGGATGGGCACCGAACTTTCTAAGAGTTACCATTGACCCCATGGGTGCGGACTGGAAAGGAACAACCAAAATGACTGTACCCCCTCCCCCCAGCTCAGGACATCCGTTGCTCCTGCGGGAGCCGGGTAGCATCCTGCGCTGAGCGCTGATCGCACATCTGTGTTTTTTATCAGGTTGCGCAGCACAGTGTTACGGGGAACTAACTTAAACGAGGACAGGTCATGTTTTAATGAGAGGCACTCTTCTTGCCACGAAAGGCTGAAACCACAGCCATCCATTAACCAGGTTCACACAGGCGCGGATGCTGCCCATGATGCTTCGTATACGTGACAGTTTGTCCACGTCAGCGCGGCTTATGAGGGGTCATGGCCAAACACTACGATAAGCTGTGGGATAAAATAATGTTTGAGTGTATTGTTACTCGAATGAAACACACATAGATTCATCAGTTGTACAGTTAATGTTGTCACGGCTAAAAAGAAAGGCATCATAGATACATGCCGTTCTCTGCACCCAAATTTGGATATCCATAATTCTCACCGCATGCCACTTTGACGTTAAGCATAGCAACGCTCATACACGCCTCAAGAACGCAACATGGCTCGACACCCACGGTGCCTAAGCAGACAGGTAAGGACCAAGCACTATCGGCCACGCGCGCAGCTCGACACCCACGGTGCCTTCGCAGACAGGTAAGGACCAAGTACTATCGGCCACGCGCGCAGCTCGACACCCACGGTGCCTAAGCAGACAGGTAAGGACCAAGCACTATCGGCCACGCGCGCAGCTCTACACCCACGGTGCCTAAGCAGACAGGTAAGGACCAAGCACTATCGGCCACGCGCGCAGCTCTACACCCACGTGCCTAGCAGACAGGTAAGGACCAAGCACTATCGGCCACGCGCGCAGCTCTACAACCCAAGGTGCCTTAGCAGACAGGTAAGGAAACCAAGCACTAGTCGGCCACGCGCGCAGCTCTACACCACGGTGCCTAAGCAGACAGGTAAGGGACCAAGCACTATCGGCCAAGCCGCAGCTCTACACCCACGGTGCCTAGCCGACAGGTAAGGACCAAGCGCTATCGGCCACACGCGCAGGTACACTGCTGACACTGCACGGGGCGTGCCCGTAGACAGATAAAGAACGAGCACGGGGGAATGTGAGTAGGCATGACTCGAGCGCGGCACGTGTGACAGGCTTTCGACGCATCTGGGGCGAACGAAAGCG